AGCCTACCACACCCCCTGCTAACTTGCCGACCTCCTCCACTCTTCCTACCACCCCATCCCCCACAGCTATCTCCTCCTGTGCCACCATCCCCTCCCTCCTAGATTGTAAGCTGGAAAGAGCAGAGCCCTCGATCCCCTCATGTTTTGCATTGTATTGGTATTGTTCTGTCACATGTTCTGTCCCCCTTTGTAATGTACAGCGCTGAGCGAACTATTGGCGCTTTATAAATACTGTATAATAATAATAATATATATATATATATATATATATATATATATTTTTTTTTTTTTTTTTATTATTTTTGTTTATTTATTCGTTAAATTCATTATTTTGTAATAGTTTATTCATGTATTTATTTTTTATGACCAGCAATAGCAGTGACACACACAAAGTAGTTAGAATTCACCTAAATGAATTAAATGCACTGTTTGTGTCATCAACAATTGACAATTTTTAATAACATGTTTTTACCTTTTTACATTATTTGTTACATTTTAGTGCTGCTGCTTTCCTGCAGCTTCTTTTGTCTATATCTACAAGCACACAAATGATGTCTGTATTGCATTTCTTGGGCGGGTTTCCCGATCATGACAATACTGTGCCTGCATCATGTGTGTTGATGTGGCCACTTATAGTCTCCTTTGAAAGCCCATGTGACAGGTGACAATGCAGGAGCATAACCCGAGAAAGTGATAGAGTGTTGTCACCATATATCAGGAAGTTCCTAAACAAGGACTTTTATTGTGATAGACATTATCACTTACTAGGCCAATTCTGACACTTCTCTCATATATGTAAAAATCAATGCAAAAGTTCCCTTGGAAAGTGTGCAGCCTATTTGTCCTTCGGTAATCAACTACCTTGCCTGTAGCTCACCCAGAAAGGTGGCAAAGCTCTGAAAACATAACATTGTCAGCCTAATAAAAAGAATAAATTAAAAAAAACTGAAGGATCACAAGACATTTAATAAACATTTGCTCACACCAATATACTGTACATAAAAAGAGCATAGCTACATTGTTAAGGAAGAAACTTTATTATTTGGGTTTATATACACTTAAAGGGTATGTAAGTCTTAAAGCCAAACTCCAAGAAAAATGTAAATAGTGTATTGTCCTTCAACACCTTATCCCTCAGTATTGATTTCAAACACCTCTGCCTGAGTCATCCTGAAGTGTAATAGTTCAAAGTAATTTATATTGCTATCACAGCGGATGAACAACATCCCTTCTATTAGACCCCATATCTCTTCTCTGCGCTTAAAATCATCTAATCAAACTGTCATGGGTTTGATCAGATGCTTTCACAGGCCTGTAACTGCCTGTTTACAGTAGACTAAAACCGTAACCGCATCCGGTTTCTTGGACCATAGAGATGTTCTGGTGCTCTTTCATCTCTATGGTAAGCTGGTAGAACCAAACCCTTCAGTTCTGGACCCACCCCCCTGTGGGATGGGAGAGCCTGGGAAGGTGGGGGGACCCCCTTCCACTAACTGTAAAAGTGATCTGACGACACCCAAATCTACCTCTCCACCCCTCTCCTCACCCCCCCCACTATCTCCGCCCGCACCACTCACCTTCTAAACGACATCTCAGACTGGATGTCGCTACATTTCCTCAAGCTCAACCTCTCCAAAACCGAGCTCCTCGTCTTTCCCCCTGCCAACACCCCCCCCCCCCCCCCCCATCCTATCCATCATCACCAACAACACCACCATCAATCCCGCCCCGCAAGCCAAAGTCCTTGGCGTCATTCTTGACTCGAACCTCTCCTTCCAACCGCATGTCAAATCACTCACAAACACATGCAGGCTCCATCTTCGCAACATTGCCAAGTTACGTACCTTCCTCACCCCAGACACCACCAAACTTCTTGTATACTCCCTCATCATCTCACGCCTTGACTACTGTAATTCTCTTCTCACCGGCCTACCCAAGTGCAGGCTCTCCCCGCTCCAGACCATCCTGAACTCAGCGGCTAGACTCATCCACCTCACCACCCGCTCCACCTCTGCCACCCCCCTCTGCCTCTCCCTCCACTGGCTCCCGATTGCCCAACGCATCAAATTTAAACTCCTAACCGTGACCTACAAAGCCATTCACAACACTGCCCCTGACTACCTCACCAACCTGATCCCCAAGTACCGCCCTACCCGTACCCTTCGCTCCTCACAGGACCTCCTTCTATCCTGCTCCCTGGTCTCCTCCTCCCATGCACGACTGCAGGACTTCTCCAGGTCCTCCCCTATCCTCTGGAACCCACTGCCCCAATCCATCAGACTGTCGCCTTCCCTCTTCACATTCAGGCGCTCCCTCAAAACCCATCTCTTCAGGGAAGCCTACCCCACCCTCACCTAACGGCCATCCTCCCTCATTCCTCCCACCACTTCATTCCCCTCAGCCACTTCCTGCTGTACCTTTACCCCCTCCCTCCTAGATTGTAAGCTCGAAAGAGTAGGGCCCTCTTACCCCTCGTACGTTGTTTGTTGTTGTTGTACTGTGCCATGTATTGTCCCCCCTCTATTGTACAGCGCTGAGCAAACCCTTTGGCGCTATATAAACTCGTAGTAATAATAATAATAATAATCTAGTGGCTGTTTAGCTTCTCAGATTGCTTTGACTTTATTCTGCATTGACGGCTGAAAAAAAGATACCAGGGTCAGCTGCAGCCACAGCCCCGGAATAACCACTGAAACTCATGGATGTATGGGTAAGTCCATTTGAGGGAAGTGGTTAATCCACTCACCATGGAATGTGTCAATGTTGAGTGTCCAAGAACAGAATTAGAGGTGTGAAAGTTGGTGGAATCACCCTGTTCACATATAATGTGACCTCCATGATGTAACAACAATTCACACCGTCTGTCCTGTAAATGGACGGATTAACACCTGTTGCAGATATTCTGCCACCAAGGTATTGGATGATTTAGTTAGAACAGGGCATTTCCACAAACTCTCCATTCTGCTTTCGGGCACTTAACATCTACTTATAAAACAGACCTCATTTAATAGAAACCATTAGAAAGTGAGGGTGCCATCACCCCAAATTACTATAAAAAATTTAAGGGGGAAACAAAAACCCCCAAAGAAATAATGGAATATCTCGGCACCAAAAGGACAACACAATATAAAAACAATACATTTTTAGTAATGCAGAGAGAGTTTTTTTTTATCAGACATGTACATGAATCTGTTTTAAAATCGCAGGGATTGGAAAAATAGGCCAGACAAGGGCACCAGCCACTTTGCCCAATATTTTTGCCCCCCGTGGCCACCAATGGGGGGAGACATGCTGGTGGCCTCTTCTATTTTGCATGAGCTCACATTGGTAAGCAACCTATTTGTGGATCTTGAAATATGTAAAATGTTCTACTTGTAACCCTTTGAGGTAATGTATTTTAACTGCCATGATTCTATTTCTGAATAGTGTTTGACTTTTCCTCCTGAAGAAGCGGATCATTTTCGCAAAACATGTAGAGGAGTCAACATTATCCCCCATCAGGGGTGAAGCTATAACAGCTACAATTTATGTGAATTATGTAATCATGCTGTTAAATTCCTATGATTTTAAAACAGATTCAGGTACATGTCTGACCAAAAAAACTCTTTGTGCATGAATACAAATATATTGTTTTTATATTGTGTTGTCCTTTGGGTGCCGAGATAGTCCATTATTTCTTATTATTGATGCATTCTATGGTGATGGGGATAATGGGACTGAGTTACTTTTGTGAAAATTAACCCCTTGACGCCGACACAACAAAAATATGTGGCCTCACGGTCCTATCCCAGCACAAAGACCGCGGTGTCACTGAGAGCACCGGGTCCTGTTCTAACGATCGGGACCCGGGATTCCCAATTCCGGGTCACATGATTGCTGTGAAAGCCTCTGATTGTCTATCACAGTGATCAGTCACTGTACAGCCCGGCCCTTGTTTTTTTCTCTCTCTATGAATGGAGGAGAGAGATACATTGTATCTCTCTAACTCCTGGGATAGAGGGAAACAAAATGATTGTATATAAAAAAAAAAAAGATAAATAAATAAATATTAAAAAATAAAATAAAAAATAAAGACAAAATACCTAGATAAAGATTTGATCTAGTTCAGTGCCATGGTTAGTGTTTGGGTCAAGGTCAGGGTCACAGGTCAAGGTGAAAGGGTCAGGATTAAAAAGAAAAATTGTTATCGGTGTCAGTTAGTGTCAATGTCAGTGTGTTTTAGGTAAAAAAAAAAAAGACAAAAACAAAATGTGCACTATTGTTTCTGGGCTGTACAAACAACAATTAACATACACATATATAGTATTGCTGTGATCGTCAAGAGCTGGAAAATTTATTTTGGGTTGTTCTTTGGTGGTAGGTTATGGTAGTAACAAGAAGCACACAGCTAAATAAAAAGAAAATATTTTTTTTTACTATTTTGGGCCAGTCTTCCTTTGATAATAAAAAAAAAAATAGGAGATATCCATTACCATTTACCACCAAATGAAAGCCCAATTTGTCCTGAAAAAAATGCGGTATAATTCACCTGGATGTACAAAGTAGTTGTGATGATATGTACGGTTTTACTAACCAGGGGCTTTCAGACAGACTGACCATTTGGAAACTCGGGCACTGCCCGAGGGCCCGGGGTCAGTAGGGGGCCCCATGAGATGCCCCTGGTACCTTTTTCATAGGCTTTTTTGAGTTTGGGCAAGGACACAGGGGCCCCATGATCCCCTATTGCCCGGGGGCTCCATGAGTTGTCAGTCCGCCCCTGTTACTAACACATGTCAACGTTGCAAAATTGAGCTTCTGTATTTATATTTGTTTTACCCTCACGCATGAAGGGGTTAATGTTGGGGTATGTTCATGGCAATCATCAGAGCTGAAGAAGTAGCGTGGATAAAATACTTTAAAGAAGAAGGCTAGCTGAATGTAATTAACTACTACTAGCTACTTCTCTCTTTTTTTCCTTTGTATTGCTCTCATTTCTTCACAGAGTTTTCTGCTTTCAGGTAATGAATGAGCAAAATGTGACCAGAATTACAGCAATCCGCCTCCTGGGATTTCAGACTGGTTGGAGTATAAGTTGTCTGATCTTTTTTCTCCTCCTTTTGATTTATTGTGTGTTATTATGTGGAAACCTCCTGATCATCACACTGGTGTCCTACAGCAAAGCCCTCCATTCCCCCATGTACTTCTTCCTCTCCCAGCTCGCTGTAACAGATATCTTACTGGCAACTGACATTCTTCCCAATACCCTTCATGCTCTTTTAGTGAAAGAATTTATAATGTCATTTTCTGGTTGTATTACCCAGTTTTATTTTTTTGTTGTTGCAGAAGCTGGAGAGTATTTTCTTTTAACAGCGATGTCTTACGACAGATATCTGGCCATCTGCAGACCGTTGCATTACACTTCGATCATGAACCAACACTTTTGCTGGATAATGGTCTCCATTTGTTGGATTTTAAGCATGTTATTAGTACTGATTTATACTATAACTATAACAAACTTACAATTCTGTGGTCCCAATGTGATTGATCACTATTTTTTGTGATTTTGATCCAATCCTTCAACTCTCCTGCTCTGATACTACCATTGTTCAAATAGAAAAGCCACTGACTGGTGCTTTTTTTCTTGTCGCCCCATTTGTTGTTATCATCGTATCATATATTTATATTTTAAATACAGTTTTGAAAATCTCATCTATTACTGGGAAACAGAAAGCATTCTCCACGTGTAGTTCCCACCTGAGTGTTGTATGCAGCTATTTTATTACTGTAACATGTGTTTATCATGTACCTAGTATAGGACAATCAATGAACATTACCAAATTCCTGTCATTGCTGTACACTGCGGGAACACCACTGATGAATCCAATTATATACAGCCTGAGGAATAAAGACCTGAAACAAATTGTTAAAAATAAACTGAAGAGCTTACATTTCAATAGTGACTAAACGTAACCAATTAGATGCACAGTAAAACATACATTTCAACAATATAATAATGTGTTAAATTAATTTACAACCAAATTTAGTGTGTCCGCTTAGGACCATGCATCCAGTGCAGGGGCGGACTGACAACTCATGGGGCCCCCGGGCAATAGAAAATCATGGGGCCCCTGTGTTCCTGCCCACACTCAAACCACACCTAAAAAAGCCTATGAAAGGTACCAAGGGCATCTCATGGGGCCCCCTACTGACCCCGAGCCCTCGGGTAGTGCCCGAGTGCTTAAATGGTCAGTCTGCCCCTGGTCCAGTGCATCTAGGAACACTTGTTTGAAAATTTCCCCTCAGATCAAGGTTATCAAATTCAATTTCATCATGGGCCATATCAGCATTATTGTTTCCTTCAAAGGGCTGGTTGTATCTGTAAGACTAGACGTCCAGATCACCCCACCCACCTTACATCAGATGGCAAGAGCCCCCCTACCATCAGAAGTCAAGAGTCCCCCACCCTCCCTTACATCATAGTGGACCACCCTTTGTGTTGCTGCTGGGAAGAAACTGGGGGGCGATGCTGGGAAGTTGGACGTGCAGGGACTGGAGGAGAACTGGAGTCAGCTGCTGGAGTCTGCTGAATGCTGAGACCAGGGGAGGTGTGAGTGAGGAGGTGCTGTGGCTGCACAAAGAGGTGCAGGATCTGTAGGAGTTTTGTCCCCCTCTCTACTGTCAACTGGTGAGACAAGGTGGAAGCGGAGACAATGGAGGTTGCTAAGGTTGCAGGAGAGGTGTGAGGGCAACATGAAATGGCCTGGAAGGCTGGATTCAGCCCATGGGCCTTGGTGTGCCTTAAATGCATAAACATCCACAAATCAGAATGAAGCCTTTTACTGAACAGTGTAATTAGAAGCAGAACAATGATGAGATCATCTCTTTGTCACTGATTTCTCTTCCTATCAGCATGCTTCTTGTTAGCACATGACCTGATTGGATCCTTCTTATGATTTTTCCTCTAATTGTTCAGACCTTTGTACATGGACTGTAAGTGGCTGACTTATACTGCTCACATACTGTCTAAAAATTTGCAGCTATAGTCTCTCAAACAACACACTTTAATGTTTATTTTAAGTTAAAACCCACCTTGTAGCCCCTCTTATATTGATTCCTATGCAAGATGCTTACATACTGTCCAGCCTCAGAAAAGTATTTGTGCCTATTGTCTCTCAGATACTAGATGCTTTATCTTCTTTTACTTGCTTCCTATTCAGGTGTTTGCATACTGTCAGCCAATTTGTAGCAAACATGTACCTGAAGTAAAATTAAAAGAATTATCTTCACTCATACCAAGCTACATACCAAGAATCAAACAGCACAAACAGCTCCACTTCATTTGTCAACACCATAGGCCAAGATTGCCTGCATCAGTCCTATATCATTAGAGGCTGGTAGGAAGCCTGGTAGTACCCAATCTTACACATTCCTACAGCACTGCACACATCACTCCTCCTGTCTTCTCCACATCACCTCTAACCTATCTATTTGGGTCCACCTGGCAATAGGTGGATGCTCTCCTTTCCCCATCCACAACCTTATAGGGACCCCCTGCCATAGGCCTAGAATCTCTGACTCTTCCCTACTGCAACCCTGCATCTGTGGGACTCAGTGAAGTACTCCTGCAAACTGCTTTCTCCCTACATGGATCTTTCAGGCATTCTGGATACCCCCCCCCCCCCCATTTTTTTTCCAACCCCTGACAACCCCCTGGTCTTTGATTGTTAATGTAGGACAAGGGTCAAATATATTTGTGAACTTATTTCCCTTGACGGTATCAAATCCTTCCAATATCTGCAGAAGTACTAGCAATTGTCATCTGAAGAGGCCTTTCAGTATATTCAAATAAATCACCACATTCACAGCCTATTTAGATGTCAAACAGGGCCACCCAAATGCTTAACCCCACTTGAAAACTGATGCTGAAAAGCCCCCATTCAAAAAGCTTATTCTCTGAACTCCACGCCTTCCTTGTCAATTAACTGAGCCCTGGTAAACTCTGCAATATAGCAAAATGGGAAATAGTCCTCGGCATAAACTTGGATCAGACCACCTGGAGTATTATTTGACTTACCTCTGCCAATGATCTCTGAATATTTTAGTCCATGAAAATGCCTAGAAACTGATCTCATCATGGTACATGCCCCCCAAACTTATATAAACTTATATATCTTATATATAAGTTTTTCAGCAATGCATCTCCAATGTGCTTCAGGGGTCATAGAGAATGAAGCACCCTCTTCCACATCTGGTGGTCCTGCCCTAAGCGACTTGATTTTGGACACGAGTGTATGCTATGATTAGGTCAGTTCTAATTTTTTTCCATTGTCTGCAACCCATGGGAAGCCCTATCTCGACCATGCCAAGGACCAGGGGAAACTGGTACTATACAGGTGAAACTCGAAAAATTAGAATATCGTGCAAAAGTTCATTTATTTCAGTAATGCAACTTAAAAGGTGAAACTAACATATGAGACTCATTACATGCAAAGCAAGATAGTTCAAGCTGTGATTTGTCATAATTGTGATGATTATGGCTTACAGCTCATGAAAACCCCAAATCCACAATCTCAGAAAATTAGAATATTGTGAAAGGTGCAATATTCTCGGCTCAAAGTGTCCCACTCTAATCAGCTAATTAAGCCATAACACCTGCAAAGGGTTCCTGAGCCTTTAAATGGTCTCTCAGTCTGGTTAAGTAGGAATCACAATCATGGGAAAGACTGCTGACCTGACAGTTGTGCAGAAAACCATCATTGACACCCTCCATAAGGAGGAAAAGCCTCAAAAGGTAATTGCAAAAGAATCTGGATGTTCCCAAAGTGCTGTATCAAAGCACATTATTAGAAAGTTATGTGGAAGGGAAAAGTGTGGAAGAAAAAGGTGCACAAGCAGCAGAGATGACCGCAGCCTGGAGAGGATTGTCAGGAAAAGGCCATTCAAAAGTGTTGGGGACTTTCACAAGGAGTGGACTGAGGCTGAAGTAAGTGCATCAAGAGCCACCACACACAGACGGATCCTGGATATGGGCTTCAAATGTCGTATTCCTCTTGTCAAGCCGCTCCTGAACAACAAACAACGTCGGAAGTGTCTTACCTGGGCTAAAGAAAAAACAGACCTAGTCTGTTGCTCAGTGGTCCAAAGTCCTGATGAGAGCAACTTTTGCATCTCATTTGGAAACCAAGGACCCAGAGTATGGAGGAAGAATGGAGAGGAACAAGGACCCAGAGTATGGAGGTAGAATGGAGAGGCCCAAGGACCCCGAGTATGGAGGAAGAATGGAGAGGCACACACTGCAAGATGCTTGAAGTCCAGTGTGAAGTTTCCACAGTCTGTGTTGATTTGGAGAGCCATGTCATCTGCTGGTGTTGGTCCACTGTGCTTCATTAAGTCCAGGGTCAACGCAGCCGTCTACCAGGAGATTTTGGAGCACTTCATGCTTTCTTCAGCAGACGAGCTTTATGGTGGTGCTGACTTCATTTTCCAGCAGGACTTGGCACCTACCCACACTGCCAAAAGCAGCAAAACCTGGTTCAATGATTGTGGGATTACTGTGCTTGATTGGCCAGCAAACTCACCTGACCTGAACCCCATAGAGAATCTATGGGGCATTGCCAAGAGAAAGATGAGAGACATGAGACCGAACAATGCAGAAGAACTGAAGGCTGCTATTGAAGCATCCTGGTCTTCCATAACACCTCAGCAGTGCCACAAGCTGATAGCTTCCATTCCACGCCGAAATGAGGCAGTAATTGCTGCAAAAGGGGCCCAAACCAAGTACTGAGTACATATGCATGCTTATACTTTTCAGAGGTCCGATATTGTTCTATGTACAATCCTTGTTTTATTGATTGCATGTAATATTCTAATTTTCTGAGATTGTGGATTTGGGGTTTTCGTGAGCTGTAAGCCATAATCATCACAATGATGACAAATCACGGCTTGAACTATCTTGCTTTTCATGTAATGAGTCTATCTCATATATTAGTTTCACCTTTTAAGTTGCTGCACTGAAATAAATGAACTTTTGCACAATATTCTAATTTTTTGAGTTTTACCTGTATGTGTTCCTGTCAGCCTGGCAGATACTATCCAGAGCCTGGCAACAACTGTTCCTCAACTTAACTGGGGACAGAAAGAGGCTTATGGGGACTATGGTTCATGAGAAGTTAATTTCTATACTTACTGATATCCACACCAAATTCCTAAAGGTTTGGAACTCAAGGATAATTTAAATTGGTAACTTGAATTTAGACCCTGCTCTTGGTGTGAAAAACTGTATAGCTTACTGCCGATGCACCTGCCTGATTGAGCCCATGAGAGCCTCGCTCAATATTTTCCTTATCTTCCCTCTTCTCTAGGCAAGTTTCCCCTTCTCTTTATTCCTTGCTCTGTTTTTATTCCCTGTCTTTTCCCTTGCCCCTCCTTTTATCGCCCTGATCTTAAGCTCTTACGTAGGACTCTTCTCCCCCTTTCATGGAAGCAATCACTACTACCTGTGAGGAACACTCCCCATTGTCTTAATTTGTCAACTCACTCTCCACGTTGTGTATGGAGCCACTGGTATCCTCTATAATGATAATAATAATATAATGATAACCTGCCTCTACACCTACAACTCATTGTAACAACTGGGTATTCTTTATGTCTTCTCACTCTTGTTTCTCTTTTTGCATCCTCTTATTGTACCATTAAATGCTGTATACTATTTAAAAATCCAATAAATTGGGAGGCGTGGCTTTCCAGCATCACAAATGACTGCCTAAGCCGTGAGCTCTGCTGACCAGAGGGACAAAAACAGTGACCGGCAGCCTCTCCTGCACTCCCTGGTCTTCAAACTGGCTGTGAGGACCTTTGAGCAGTGCCGAGCAATGATATCTCAAAAAAGAAAGGAAGATCGCCACCCACGGAAACTAAAGGAGTTCTTCCATCAATCAGCAGACAGACAAGACTGCAGCCAAGATGGCACCGCTGCCTCATCTTCTCACAACATTGCCTCTTACACTGATCTCCTAGATACAGACCATGACTCCTCTGAGGAATCAGCTACACAGCTCCCCTCTAGCCAGTCTGCACACCATAGTCTGTAGCCCAGCAAAAGCCTGCATGAGGCTGGAATCCCCCACCTCAGCTGCATCAGCTTCCACAGCACACAGCCAGGAACTTAACCCTTCACATTCCCATTAAGGCTTACAGTCACCCATAGCAGCTTTCCCTACCTCAGGACAACCAGTACTTGATTATACCATGAAAGAGATGCCTCTCTCCTAGCAATCCTCATTAATCTAAGAATTCTCTTCTCTTTTCCTCAAATTTTCATCTGATCTAAACAACCTAGGAGAAAGAGTCCAATATGTAGAGAGTAAATGGGCAAATGCACAGAAACCATCAATGACCTTGTCGACGCATATAAAGAAACTAAAGAAGACAATTCATGGATTAAGGCCAAACTCGCGGACCCTGAATACAGGTCCAGACATAACAACATCAAATTGAGGGGTATACCAGAATCAGTTCCTCAATTCGAATTGCATGCATATGCTTGCAATTTGATGACCGCCATGCTTCCTGATGCTGCACCTATTGAACTTATGATTGACCGTATTCACTGCATTCCTAAAGCACCACATCTGGTAGACTCGATACCCAGGGATGTATTAATGAGAGTGCATTTTTTCCAGGCTAAGGAGCAACTGCTTTCTTCCACCAGATCCATGGCTGCATTACCCACACCTTTTGAACATCTTCAATTATTTTCGGATCTCTCCAAACATACTCTTCAGCTGCAACGACAGCTGAATTCGGTTACGAAAGCACTACAGAATCACAAGATTCCATACAAATGGCGCCACCCAGCCACCTTCCTTATCACGCACAATGACATTGTGAACACAGTCAATTCCCTTCACAAGGGAATGCATCTTCTGCACATTTAGGGAATTATCCTAGATCCACCCCGGAGACCAACATTCCAGACTCATCTTCTGCTACACCTCACCCTGGACAACCACATCCTGGCAGACGCAGTCATCGCCCTTGATCCAACACAGAGGCGGCCAACAGTCATTTCACTCGGTTCTAAGTATCCTGTGTCTCATCCCCTGATTACCCAATTTGAGTCTTCAACTTACTTACAATGCCTCTCTAAATCCTATCTATAAATGCCAGAGGTCTGAACCACCCCGCAAAATGGAACTCCCTGTGGAAATCTGCACAACTTCACAATTGTGACATCTTATGATTAAAAGAGACTCATTTCTCCCAATCTGCCCAGCCGTATTGCCAAAACAAACATTTACCTCATGTCTATAAATCATTTTTCACTGCCAAACAGAGAGGGGTCATGATTGCAATTAAGGACTCAGTCTCATTCATGCCTCATCATTACTGCCGATCCTAGTGGTCAATTTCTTATCCTGATCTGTACAATTAACAACGTCCCATATACCTTGCTGAATATATATATATGCTCCCAAGAAAAACCCATCGCCTTCCTCACCAAAATCCTCCATCAAGCTAGGAAAGTTCAACAGGGACACTTACTCATCTGCAGGGACTTAAACATCATATCTGACAGCCTGATGGACTCTTCCACCATCTCCAAATGTACGTCCCTACTGTAATCAGCCCGCTGGATGCGTGTATGTACGGTAGCTGCGGCTACATACAGTATACACTGGGCCAATCATGGCGAGCAATGTATTCTACGAATACAAAGCCTGCTTGGATTGGCTGAGGTTGTGACATCATCAGCCCACCTCCCTTACTCAGCCAATCCGAGCAGGCTTTGTATTCATTAGTAGAATACATCACTCGCCGTGATTGGCCCACTGTATACCGTATGTAGCCGCAGCTACCGTACATACACGCATCCAGCGGGCTGATTACAGTAGGGACGTACCGGTACATTTTGAAACCGCTTGGCTCAGCGCAGTATACTGTATATACCGCACATCCAGCGGGCTGACAGATTCATCTCTCATAGGGACATTTGTTTTGAGCCAGCTTGGCTCAGCGCGGTATACTGTATGTACAGTATTATCACACATCCAGCCAGCTTGACCCAAACAAACACAAGGTTCACATTTTATACCCCGCGTATAAGACGACCCCCAATTTTTGGGGTATATTTTTAAAGTATAAAAAGTAGTCTTATACGCCAGAAAATACTGTATTTATAAAAAAAAAAAACAGTTAAATGATTTATATGCTAAAATACATAATTTTTTTTTTTCAGCACTCTTTATTTCAGCACTCAGATTTTACTTACTGCTAAGAAATATTTTTCTGAAATTAAAAAAAAAATAATCTAGCAATACTTTTTACATATAATGGTAATGAATCCCGTGAAAATTTCAATACACACCTGCGATTCCCCAGAGCGCCAAATAATTTTTCCTGTTTATCTATAAGAGCTATGATACGCTGTATAATCAGAAAATTTAGCAGATACACATAATATGGCTGTGAAACCTTCCTTATTATTGTATTTCGTCACTGGCAATCAGTGTTTTTAAAATGCGACAAGTATGTTTTCAAAGGCTTTATAGCATAGATTTTGTGACAGAATAGTCATTTGGTGAATAGGACAGAGTAGTGACAGAACTTCAAAATAACTAATGCAATAGAAGTTTATTTTATTTTTTGATGAACAAAGTACCTAATAGAGACCTCCTTTATTGATTGGATTCCAGTAAATCTAATTGGTTGGATTTTGCATATCATAATTACTTAATTGACTTTTTATGTACTGAAATAAAAAGAGGGATTTTTTCTACTGTATTAAACTGAGGCAGCAAGCTATTTCAGACTCCTCAAATTGAAACAAAAAATTGGACCCACCCTTCCTTCCTTGCTTCCTTCTTTCTTTTCTTTCTTCCTTCCACAAATGTTATTTCCCTTTACATTAGAAGTTATTATTATGGATGAGGAAAATATAACCAGAATTACTGCAATCCACCTTTTAGGATTTCAGACTTCCCAAAATATAAAATATTGGATCTTTTTTATTCTCCTTTTGATTTATTGTGTGTCAGTCTGTGGAAACCTCCTGATCATCACATTGGTGACCTACAGCAAATCCCTCCATTCTCCCATGTACTTCTTCCTCTCCCAACTGTCTATATCTGATCTCTTACTAATAACCGACATTCTTCCAACCATGCTCCATGCTATTTTAATGGAAGAGGCCACCTTATCATTTTCTGACTGCTTCCTTCAGTTGTATTTCTTTTCTGTTGCCTCCACGTTGGAGTGTCTTCTTTTGACAGCAATGTCATATGACAGGTATTTGGCCATCTGGAAACCTTTGCATTATACTTTGATAATGAACCACAAATGTTGCTGGATCATGGTTATCACATGTTGGACTTTAAGCATTTTTATAGTATTTATTAATATTTTAACTGTGTCCCAATTGCAATTTTGTGGTCCCAACATGGTTGACAACTTTTTTTCTGTGATCTTGGCCCAATTCTACAACTTTCATGTTCTGAAACAACCACTCTTCAAATAGCTTTTAAATTGATGATCGCTATTGTGGTTGTAATTCCATTCTGTATTGTCATTGTATCATATATTTATATTATAGTCACTATTTTTGAAATTCCTTCAATCAATGGGAGAAAGCGAACTTTTTCAACATGCAGTTCCCACCTGACAGTTGTTTCTATCTATTACGGTACTCTATTTGGTGTTTACATAGTACCCAACAGAGGACAGTCAAGGAACATGGCTAAATTCTTGTCCTTACTGTACACCATAGTCACCCCAATGGTGAATCCAATTATATACAGTCTGAGGAATAACGACTTTAAAAAAGCTATAGGAAAACTCATGAACCTTTCTTTTACTTTAGCACAACAGTGATGTTCAATTTATACTGACAAATTGCAATCCATCTGTTGCATTTGAAGGTGTAGTGCAAACCCCTGACTTTGAGTATGGAATTGTATGGCAGGTTTTTTTTTTCTCTTTTTTTTTCTTTTTTTTTTTACTCTGGCTTCAATATTTTCAGGACTTTTACTCTGGCTTATACAACAGAAAAAAGCAATGCTTTCACTGGGATTCCATGTGGAAGCTGAGAAAAAGTGGCACCTTGGCCAACAAACCCTTTTGGAGACAGAGCACAACACAACAGAGATGTAGATTTTTTGCAATGTACAACTTTTCTTTTTTTTAGCTTTATACATTTATGCTAGGAATTTAAATTATTCTACAAAAACTAAAGGTCAGATATCAACTTTTCTTGTTTGATTTTGCAGGTCCAAAGTTTATTTAGAAAAAAAATGGCAGATTACACCGCTCTCCACTTCCATTGGTCTAAAACAAGGGTCTCCAAAACTCCAAACAGATGTGGCCCTTTCCGTGCCTTTACCTGGATCTTGGAGCACTATTCCTTCGATTGATATGAGGCACTATTCTTTTCACTGACATCAATGATGGGACACTATTCCTTCCACTGACACCAATGATGCAACATGCTTCCTTCCACTGACGCCAAAGATGGGAAATTAATTCTCCCACTGACACCAATAATGGGGCACTATTCCTCCAACTGACCACCATGTATATGGCATTGTTTACTCCCACCAATGCAAGGGCATTACTTACTTCCTCTGGCCATAGTCCAGTCCCCCAAATGTTTGAAGGGCGGTAAACTGGCCCTGTGTCTTGAAAGTTTTGAGACCCCTGGTCTAAAAAATAAATCAATGTATTGTTGTTTTGTGTTAAATTTCTTTATTTAAATTTTAATGAATAAAACAGTAAGTTGGATTTTTTTGCACAAGTTTTCATGGACTATTAATGGAGTTCTGGCAGTTTGATGTAATGATTATGATGTAATACATTATGATGTATTATGATTGATTGATGTAATACATAATACATTATGATGTAATAAAGCAGCGCTTACCTGCCTACTATTGCATACTGCTTAGCCATTCACTGAAATTATTATTATTATTATTAATCTACAGGATTTATATAACGCCAACAGTTTGCGCAGGGCTTTACAATATAAGGGAGACAGTACAATTACAATACATTTCAGTACAGAAGGAATCTGAGGACCTGGCTCCTGGAGCTTACAATCTAAAGGAAGGGGGAGGTGATACAAAAGGTGAAAGCTGCGGGGGATGATATGGTGGAGGGGATTCAAGTACAGTTCTTAGGTGGAGGTGGGGTAGGCATACCTGAAGAAGTGAGTTTTCAAAGATCGCCTAAAGGCAGACAGGGTGGGGGCTGACAGGACATGCTGTGGTAGGGAGTTCCAGAGGATGGGAGAGGCTCTGGAGAAGTCCTGGAGGCAAGTGTGGGAGGAGGTGATGAGGGAGCTAGAGAGGAGGATATCATGGGAGGAGCGGAGTGGGCGATTTGGGTGGTATCCGTGGATGAGGTTGGTGATGTAGCTAGGAACAGTGTTGTGGATGGCTTTGTAAGCTGTGGTTAGTATTTAGAATTTCATACGTTGGGTTAGTGGAAGCCAGTGAAGGGATTGGCAGAGAGGGGCAGCAGTCCCTGATCGGTTGGTAAGGTGTATGAGTCTAGTAGCAGCATTCATAATAGACTGAAGGGGGGATAGCCTGTGTAACGGTAGACCAGTGAGGAGGGAGTTGCAGTAATCGAGGCGGGATATAACCAAGGCGTGGATTAGTTGTTTTGTGGTGTCATTGGTCAGTAAGGGGCGGATTTTGGAAATGTTACAGAGGTTGAGGCAGCAGGATTTAGCCAGTGAGTGGATGTGGGGCCCAAAGGAGAGGTCAGAGTCTAGGATTGAGCCTAGCACCCTGGCATGAGGGGAAGGATCGATGGTTGTGCTGGTGATCTTAATGGTAAAGTCGTGAGTGGGGGATCAGGGAGGAGGAAATAAAATTTTGAAATATTTGCATGTTATGAATGAATAGAAGGCTTTCTCTGATTGGCTGAAATGAAGATAGTGACATCATCCAAAGGCCTTTTCAAATCAGCAAATCTGATGAAGCTTTGTATTCTTTCTTAAAAAACGCATGTCTTCTTCTGAATGGCTGAGCAGCATGCAGCCCACCTCAATTTTGTTCCAGAATTGAGAAGGGAAGTTCCCGAACTGCTGTGAAACATACACATGGACACATGGCTGTATACTGTTTGTAGCTGATGCAGCTCTGACAAAGATTACTTGTATTAGTAAAGAAACAATTGAGTATTGTCCGTGATACTTTTTTTATTTGCACTAACATACAAGTTTGAGGACAAGCTTTCGGGGAGTTTAAATGACCTGCGCATCATTCTTTATTAGAATTATCCAACATCACATACAATCCACCACCCACTCCAACGACGGGACTCATTGTAAGCTGTAAATCAAGGCCATATGGAATGGAACAGTACATCAAACATACACTACAACCAATGGATACGCAGAAGAAAGAGAATCCAGTAATGTAGGGATTTGGATATATGCCCAAAGGAAGTGTGAGAAATTTGGAGGTGCTATCATCCACCACTTTGAAAAGCGGATTTTTACCTCTATAGGGTTTTCTACATTGGAGTATCATATTTGGAATTTCGTATACAATATCACAAGAATAAGTTGTGAAGGTGGAGAGAAAGTGATCCGAATTGTTTGAGAGACATTTTGGGACACTATTTTTATTTTTATTTTATTTATTTTAACACATTGTAATTTTTATTTATTTTTGATTTCTATCGCACGGTTGTGTTGCAGGTTTATGTTTACTTTATTTATGTAGATTCTATTTGAAAAGGGATAATCTAGGGATAAAGAAAAAGAGTCATTTGTTTATTATATCACTTTCAAGGGTGAAAGTTTTTATCTTTTCTTTCCTTTATTGTAGTTATTTAAATTTGGGAGTGTTCGCAATATTGATACAAGCTTTCGGGGAGTGTCCCCTTCTTCAAGGTCCAAGCAGTACTTAGTATTAGTAAAAGAAATACTTTATTTGGGCCAAATGAACCATTTAAAATGAAATTAAACCTAGAGTTAGGCTTTCTCAAATTTACTGTAAAAACCCAAGTACAACAAAAAAAAATGTTTGTTGAGCTTATTTCTTTATGTTATAATAAAAGAAAATTGGGGACATACAGTATAAAGAAGTTTCACGCGGTCCATTACTCTTTGTATCCATTAACTACTTCCTACTGTTCATCAGACCCAAGGAAGAAGTTAGTGACATATCACACTGGACCTCCCATAACTGTAGTTCAAGCATATAAAAACCCAAAAGCAAACATTTAGTATACTAGTTAGCAGTCCTTAGCTGAGTTCCTAATTTCTTTTTTTAATGGCTTTTTTTTAAATTTTGGGCATGGTGATTCTGCCAATGATACATTTTCTGACCTTGGATGGTTATGCCTGCTCCTCCACTGTATTTATGGAGGGAGTTATTGTTGCCACCCAGGAAGAGCTTCAGCCATCTTCATTTCACTTACATGGGGGAAATAAGTAGGTCATTCAACAAGGATAAGATTGTGTTCACAGGAATTGACAAAGACAACATTTCTAGTCAGGGGCGGACTGACCATTTGGAAACTCGGGCACTGCCCGAGGGCCCGGGGTCAGTAGGGGGCCCCATGAGATGCCCCTGGTACCTTTTTCATAGGCTTTTTTGAGTTTGGGCAAGGAAACAGGGGCCCCATGATCCCCTATTGCCCGGGGGCCCCATGAGTTGTCAGTCTGCCCCTGTTTCTAGTAGAATCAGTAGGTATTTTTTTATACTTTATCAAAACATTTTCTAACCTGCAAAATTAAAACTAATATAGTCAGCTCATTTAACCAGTTGCCACCCGGCCTATAGCCAGATGGCGGCCGGGCGAACAGCTCGTCCCTCCAGGTGGACGCCATTTGATGTCCTTTCAGGCATGCGCATTGTGCATGCCAGCAGGGCCACACTGTGGCGAGATCTGTCACCGGCTTTGTACCTCGGACACGGTTGATGACAGATATGTGTACCGGCCCCGTTGCCGATACCATGTGACCTGCTGTGACCAATCACAGCAGGTCACATGACAGTTGTATACAATGGATGGCTTCCTTTCATGCCATCCATTGTATACAAGTATGTCTAGCTGTGAATGGTCACAGCGATCACATGCACAGGCTGGGCCAATCACAGACAAGCTGTGTCATGTGTTTAGCCATGGCCAAATCACAGCTAATTACAACCCCTCCCCCCCTGAATTAATCGATTTCATTCAAGTAAATGCTTGCTTATAGCAAAGTAATTCCTTGCTATAAGCAAATTGTGTAAAAAAAATACTGGTCACTTCCCCAAAGTAGTACAATGTCATACTACTTTGTTCATAGTGAAATATGAAGAAAAAACCTTTAAAAAAGAGAAAAAAAGTAATAAAAAAATTAAAAATAATAAAAAAATAAACAAAATAAAAAAAAAGATTTTTTTTTTTTTTTTCGTACTGTCACCAGTCAGTGTCCCTGATCACCGCCTTGCCAGTTATATGATGACGCTGTACTGCACTGGTGACAGTATGTAAAAAAAAATAGTGAAAATCATTTTTTTAATTTCTTCACTTTCCAAAAAATTATGACAAAAAAATTACAACTTCAAAAAACTCGCCATGCCTCTTATGAAATACGTTGGACTGTCTACTTTGCAAAAAGGGGTCTTTTGGGGGCAGGGGCGGACTGACAACTCATGGGGCCCCTGGGCAATAAGGGATCATGGGACCCCTGTGTCCTTGCCCAAACTCAAAAAAGCCTATGAAAAAGGTACCAGGGGCATCTCATCAGGCCCCCTACTGACCCCGGGCCCTCGGGCAGTGCCCGAGTTTCCAAATGGTCAGTCCGCTGTACTGTTTTGACATTCTTGGACTTCAAGAAATTAGATTGGCCATCAGTACTTCAGGACTGA